TTGAGGAAGTTCTTACAGCTGGATGATGACTAATATTTATCCTGCATCATCCCTTCAGTGCTCCAGCTCTTGCGCTACAATGACTTGAGAGGCTCTCAATTTCTACACCATGAAGATAACACAAAAAATGCATCAATAGGTCATGGAGAAGTTGAACCCTATAGCAGTTTCGACACTCCAAAGAAAGCAGATGAAGAGTTTGTGTACTGGTGAAAGCTACAAGCAATCATAAAGCTTTCAGCCATTCCCGGAAGTAGGATTGCATCTTATCGCGTGTAGCAGCATTTCCAACATTCACAGTAGGAATGATCTTGTCAGGTCTCAGGAACTAAAGGATAGGGAAAAAATGTTAATATCAGATCGCGGATAAGAAATTAGGAACAAATTAGAATTTGGTTATCATACCTTCACAAAATTTTCGAGCTCTGGGAAACTTGAGTGCTCACTATAAGGAACCCCTGCAGATACGACGCATTTATGCCTTAGCATAAGAGATGTAGAAAATACAAGTGTCTTGCACTTGCTGAAAGTTCATGTAACATCCATTCAGAAAATAAAGCTTACCTGCTTGCAAGCAAGGATCAAGAAAGATGTGAATATGTTTGATATGGTAACAATTCAATGTCAACTTAAGGAGAAGAAAGGAAAAGAAAAGAGAGAAGGGTCAGGACAAAGGAATAACAAGGCCACAAGGACATGTTCTTAGCAAAAATCTTGTCTATTGAGTTTTGAAAGACAGTTTATTTATTCATCAAATCAAAGGGGTTTAGTCACCTATAAAACCTAGAGTTGCTAAGATTTATCAAGAGAGTAGTAAAATAAGAGGATGAAATATACGTCTAAGTGTCATGTCAAGAAAAAAAAACTCTATAAAGTCTGAACAGTTCAACTACTGTTACATAAGAGGCTTACTGTTACAAAAGGGAAAAGCTTAAGAAAGGCTTACCATATATAGTGATGTTGCCTTTACAGGTGGGTTTGATTAGATCTAGTTGGTTTCCAGTATTCTGAGAGTATGTCCAACCTAGATATATCATAAAGTAGAAAACTCAGAAAACATCAATATGCAGATGCAACTGCGACGATTATCAATTATGTGAGTTGTCAACCTGTTGGTCGAAAAGCCAACACTGCCGTGAATCGCTGCTTGTAAGTCTTCATATAATCCAACAGGTTCTACAATATGGCCCTTACTAATGAAATGATAGCAGGTAACATTCTCTAAGAACTAGAGGAAAATTAAAAGACCAAACCTCATGCCTCAAGGAAGAAAGAGGAAGAACATGCAGGGCAGAGCTGTCCCCACAAGTACAAAGTTTCCCAGACAACTCAGGCCAACCAAAAGATTGCAAGATCCGTCTCCTTGAAGAATTTGTGTATATGGGGAGCTGGATATAGTCATGACTCGTTAATTAACCTAATAGAAAAAACAACGAAAGTATAAAAGGAACAACTGGAGATAGGTCATATAGTCCTTGCACAAGCATATGCATAGTCAAAGCTCTAATCATCTAAAGAAGAGCCATGATAACAGTCTTGTTTGGATTCGTAGGGGGTGAAGGGAAGTTAAGGGAAACTGAGTGAAGGGAAGGGAAGGGAAGGGAAGGGAATTCCCTTCCCCTTGGTTACACCCCAATTTGGGGGTAACAATTTTTATACTATTAGGGGGTGAACCAAGGTGAATGGAGGTGAATTAACTTCACCTCCCAAGTGTTCCCAAACAAGGTGAATGGAGGTGAATGGTTCCCCTAACTTCCCTTCACCCTCATTCCCCTCAATCCAAACAAGCCTAGGCACACATCCACACAACAACACACGCCAATGGACTCCTAATAAACTAAGTTGCATGACAGGTGCGAGTACAGGACACCGAAAAAATGTAAAATATGGGTTATGGGGACAATGCTATATATATTAATAATTTACATGAGATTATTATTGTTTTTTACTTCATGTGTCATTAAAATTAAAATTCCTATCACATTTTTAAGCTTATTTTATTATTTGATTATTATAAATCAGAAACTAATCAATTTTGAATTAGACACAAAAACAACCCTTTAAATTTATAGTTTTGAACTTGGGTACATCTAACTAGTTTCAAGAAATGCATGCGAAGTGTAACGCTATACATCCAAGAAGTGTTTTAAAGTAAAACATATACCATATAATTGAATACATGTCATGATAAATGTATGCATATATTCAAGGAGTATCCATGAAGTTTGGGTATGGGAACATGTTGGGTACCTGTACTGCTTCATGATAGAAGTATTCAGGGTAACATAGCTAATAAACCATCAATCAAAAAATGACTAAACTATCAATCAGAATGCAAGTTTTATCTCACTGTAAAATCTCAAGTGAGATTTTAGCCTACACGATTCCAAAGACATGACTTTGTAATACTAAGTCCCTAAACTCAAATAAGTTAGCCCACATTATAAATTCTAAATACACTGAACCCAATAGCAAATAATATGTGGAGGCCATTTCTGCAATATGAAAAGGCTAGCTAACAAAATAAAAGGTTATATATTGAAACCCCCCCCCCCCCCTATCTTTGGATGATTTATAAAATGTTATATATGGGGAGTTATCTGAATAGTCCAAACTAATAGGGTTTTCTGATTTTTAGCCAAAATAGAACTCTAAAAAGCCCTAAATTTCTGTAGAAAATCATGCAGGACTTTATGAGAAGAAACATGAACAATGACATAGATGGATGCTTTAATAGTATAATAAAAAAAAGACATGACATTCCTACCCCTAAAGCATGTGAAATAGCAATATAAACTTGCTCCTTGCCGATACTGTAGGCTCCAACAACAATCAGGGCTTTTGAATGCTTTGCAATGAAGTCACGAGTAATCCGCACAACAAAACTCACGACATCTTCTTTAGGTGGAAACCTAGGTAAAGCCATGTTCAATAATAACTGAGAGTAATTAATATAAAAAATATATAGTTAGATTTTACCTGTATCTGGGGTTGCAATATGTTGTATCCAGGTAAAGAACATTGATATGCTGACTGGCAAGGAGAGGGTGTGACTGCATCAGATTACAAGCCCTAAAATCTCCAGTGTGTAGATATGTCCGCTCATCTCTCAGACGAAAATGAATCAAGGCTGCACCAGGGCAATGATTCGCTTCCAACATTGTCACTTTGATTCCCTCAATATCATGTTCAATGTCAAGCTCCAACGGACAAATGTGGCTGTGATGGTGACATACCAATAGTGAGAATTGTTTAAATCTCAAAAAACGCCAATATGTCCATCATTACCATCTAAGTCTTTAACCAACGGGATGGAGTTGACAATGTAATGCTCTATGAAGTATTTAACAAAGTTTACTTCCAGCTATCTTTATGTAACAAATGGAACTAAAATCATGCGCTATTAGAAGTAGCTTGGAAATAAAACGATGTTTAAGTTTGTTGAGATACATTGGGTCTGGATTAGTGTCTGGTAGGGTCTGCGCCCTATTGTTAATATATAATCATTACTTCTCACGCTACCATGGGAAAGTTATACAAGCCATCAATATAGTTCTTACAGTGGATTTACCCCAAGACACATTTTCACCAAGCGAGCTGTGAGTGGAGTACAGTATATTGGACCGTGGGACCATTTCTTGCTCAAGCCACCATAATGATCATAGTGGAAGTGACTGAGAAAATATGCCGAGCACCCATCAACGGATCCATACCGGAAAGCATCTACAGTAAACGGTGTGCCTGCAAGCATCAGGAGTTTAAAAAACAAATTCATAAAAAGTATGTGTCTTTGAGCATGAGAACATCAAGTAGAAACTAAAATCACAGCAAATAAGACATCTTTCTTCTGAATTCAGATGTTGATAAAAAGTGTTCTTTCTCCAAATATTTTTACAGTACATATTCATATCTAACATGTCATTCTCCTTTAGTTCACTATTTCGCAATTGCTTTCTCAACCGTTTAAAATTGCACTTAGAACCAAATTCCCAGGTTCAATTGTAGAAAAGATTTCATCTTTGTTTCAAATATTGGTATAGATTGTTCTTTCCAAATACTATTCCCGAGTTAACAAGAAATTACTTAAGCTTGCGGGGGAAAAAATTTGTCAAACCTGGAATCTTCTTGTAGAAGGGGCAAGAACGAGCCCGGCCGAATCCACTCCCATTCCCATCCTCCTTCCTCGCCCTCTTTCGAGCTGGCACCGAAACCCTAGGTTTCTCGATCCCCCAAACCTCAAACAGATCTCTCTGGTTCGACGACGAAACCCTAGCCTTCGATTCCTCCGCCATCGCCGGCTTCTTGATCCCCCACACCTGAAACAGATCCCTCTGCACGAGGCTTTTGCTCTCCTTCTTCTCGATCAAGCGCGACCAGTCCGAGCCGCATCGGTAGAAATCCGAAGCGAAGCTGCTGGATTCGTCGAGAGGATCTTCGATCGGTGGAGGTTTCGGTTCCGATTCGTCGCCGGAGATTGGGAATCCGTCGGCGTCGAGATCGTCGCCGGCGGTGGAGGCGTCCTCGATTTCGAATTCTGTGTCGGTGTCCATTTGAGGGAATGGGCGGGAGATTGAGAGCGTTATTTTTTTCCCTCGGGGATTTTTATTTGGGTTTTTTTAGTATGAATAATAGCAGCCGTAGATTCGAAGGGAATAGACGGTTGCGATTTAATATATTCGAGAAAACGGGCTTCCCGAACTTTTTCCGAGTGAAGTACGCATTTGACCCATTCTACATCTAAAATGTTTTGGATACAGGAGAAAATATGCTTGCTTTGGCCAGAACAAAAACTTTCGACTTTTAAAACACTTTTGGAAGATAAATGCATCCAAGATTTGATTTTTCCATCTTCTTCATGCTGGGATTGTGTCTTCGGGGGTGTTTGGTTGCACAATTTTATAGAAAAGCTTTCTCAAAAAGACTAATAATGACATTTTTGTAATTAAAAATTTTCTGTAGATCTTTGTAAACTGTGTTTGGTTCAAAAAAATTTACAGAAATGTTTTCTGTAAAGTACATAAAAGTATCACATTTTACAGGAATCAATTTTCTCTCAAAATGGGCGAAAATCACCCAGAATTCTGACACCCCAATATTAAAATTATAAATCACATTTCATGTACCTGTTTTCCCACCCAATTCGTTTCCTCGCGCTGATGAGAGGGCGGAAATATTAGGGTTTTGCCGACTTCTTCCCGCCCCCAAATCCAACGAGCCCGAGGTCCTTCGCACCTTTTACCGCCCCTATCTCGTTCCCTCTCGTTTCTGCTCGGCCATCGCCCCCAAATCTAGTGTTCTCTCCTCCCTCGCACACAAATCTAGGGTTTTCTCGACCATCGCCCCCAAATCTGAGTGATCGTCCCCTTCTCTCTCGTGGTTCTCGTGAATCTCGCACTAGGGTTTCTGAACCCAAGGCTCTGAAAGGTAATAGTCCTCTTTTTTTTTAGCTAATTATTATACGGTCATTGAGCATTTTCTATTAACCGGTTAAGAGGGTTCGAAAAAAAAACAAATTGTCTAGATAAACTCCTTTACAAATTATCTCGAAGAAAAAAAATAAATTATCTGGTTCGAAGCTAATTAATATATAGTCTCTGAAAGGTAATAGTCCTCGTTTATAATTGGTTATTTTGTTAAAGAAAAAAATGTTAGTTATGGTATTTTAACATCATCAATGAAGAATGATTAACGGAAAAAAGGACTGAGTTATATACACTATTAAATCATTGGTATTTTAATTTTTGTAGTTGATCTACACATTGATATTTATGGTAGTTATGGTAGTAAAGTCAAAATGTCGGGTATATATAAGAGTTTTGTTGATAAGTTAGTTGATCAATTTTTTTGTCGTTCTATATTGTTGCATAAACATCTTAAACTATTTTTGCTTTGTAACGAATGTAGATGGATGGTGTAGATGAAGAACAAATAAAAAGGATGTGTGCTAATACGACTATATCTTCCGTGGTTACAATATAGCATTGTATCTTATATTTTGTGTATTGCAAAGTTGATGATGTTGCAATTCATGTTGCTAGTTGTTTTTGTTGTTGTATTCGTCGTAGGTTATATTCATCTTGCTCATCAATTGTTGTTGGCTACTTGTGCTTAGATTGAGCTAATGGTTATTGCCTTATTGGCTTCTTGTGCTATAAAATGCGCTCGGTTTGAGCTTAATGACGGATGGCGTATTTTGGTAATCAAGCATGATATGAACTCTTTTCATTCATTTATTTGGATGAGCAATGATGATGATAATAAACTGAGAATGCAATCTATATTTATTGTGTATTATTTAGACGATGCAATTTTGTGCGGATTGCAACCCTTATTGATATTTCAATATTTGGGTGAGGAAATCCATCAAAATAGCAGCCTACATTTCACCATAAATTGATAGGCGAGGCAATCTTTTATGATAAATATATTTTTATCTTGAGCCCTAATAAGTATTCTTGGTTGTTGTCGAGCTGTCGGGGCTGTTTTTCCAGCTACCATGCTGATTCGAGCTTGTTTAACTCTTTATTGTTGGGTTTTTTGGTTGATATTTGTGCTCATTGTTGAGCTTTGGGGCTGTTTTTCCAGTTACTATGCTGATTCGAGCTTGTTTAGCTCTCTATTGTTGGGTTTTTGGTTGTTTTTGTTGTTGTTGTGGAGCTGTTAAGGCTGTCTTATTGTTACTATGATGATTCAAGCTAGTTTAGCTCTATATTGTTGGGTTTTTGGTTGATATTTGTGTTCATTGTCGAGCTGTTAGGGCTATTTTTCTAGTTACTATTGTAGGCGTTTAAAAATGCCTATAGGTGTCCGTACACAGCTTGAGACAGAGAGAAGACGACGAACATCGTTATCCGAGTCTAAGAGGATTATCTGACGCCGACAAGCGCCTGAAGCAAAACGGCGAATCAAGTGACCTACACGCTCGACAGTTAGCTCGTGCGCGCCAATCAGCATGCGTGCGTCAATCAACACGTGTGTATCAACCGACGCGCGTTCTACAGTTAATCCCGCAACGAAGCGTGCAAGTCAACAAGACGATCAAATATGTAAAACGGGAAAAAAATACAAGTCACGGAAGAACCGGAAAACACGAAAGTCAGCGAAGCCCAAAAGCGCGCCGCGCGGTACGGACCAAACCGACCCGCGGAGGCGCGGGTCGGCCGAAGCCGACCCGCGTGTCGGCGGGTCGGCCAAGGCCGACCCGCGTTTTGGCGGGTCGGCGGGTCGGCGGGTCGGCCAAAGCCGAC